GTGCAAAACTATGGATACCGAAGCTCTCCCGGTGATGGAAGAGTCGACAAACGGTTGGGTCAATTTGCTCTCTGATGTATGGCAAAATGTAAGCAAGGAACATTTACTTGGCTGCCAACTCTCACTCTTTGGAGTATTACTGACGTACGCCCTACTACCCGCTGGAGACACTCACCACGGAATTGCTATTGCCAAACAGCTCGAAGAAGTTTTAGAGCGGGCTCACGACGAGAAGTGGCGTGTTGGTGCGTGCGTGACAGACGATGCTGGGCAATGCGGACGAGCTCGCAGAATCCTAGCAATACGATGGCCACAGGTGGTCTTTCTGCACTGCTTTGCTCATGCAGTTAACAACTTGGTGAAAGCGGTGCTGAAATCTTCTTTTCGCGACGTGGCAGCTAAAGCAGCAAATGCGGTCAATGCTATCAATGCCTCATCGTCTAAGTGGCTCCCTCGTGTTCGCAAAATGATGAAAAAGCTCTATGGAAAGTCACTGGGACTTCGAACACTTTGCGAGACTAGATGGAATTCTATGCAAGGTTGCTTCGCGTCATTGCTGCGCGTCCAGACCGCCCTTCAAATGTTTTTTTCGCAAATACGAGAAAGATAGTGAGCTCCCTTCTACAGCGAGAGTTTTTGGAGATCTATTTTTCTGGGAAGAACTGAAGGAAGCAGAAGCCATCATTGCTCCACTGTCGTTTGCATCCTACCGTTTGCAGCGAGATGAAAACACGGTAGCGGATGTAGTGGTCTCATTTCGAGACATTTTCCGAGGATTCCAGCGCCACATCGTTCGTCATGATGCTCTCGATGTCTGTATTGAAGATCGCTGGGCGCAATGCGAACAACCGTTGTTCATGTTAGGCTTTGCACTGCACCCCGGGTGTGTAGATGCAGCTAAAGATCTGCCCCAAACAGCAGTAAGTGGCGTCGGCACCTTGTGCAAGATTGCAATTTACTACTACAGGCGGCTGTTTAACACCGAAGACACTGGGCATCTGAGACGTGACATGCTAGCGTGGATGAAGGGGAGGTTCACTCGCACAAAGTACAGTGAGTTCCCAAACGCGCCGTGGGAGTATTGGGAATGTGTCGCAACGGAGAGACCAAAGAGCCAATTACCGAATCTTGCAATGAGAGTGCTATCCATCGCAGTGAATACAGCTACCTGTGAGCGGCTCTTTAGTGAACTGGGCCTGATCCACACGGCAAAGCGGAATCGAATGGCGGCGAACAAGACTCTTGATTATCACATCATTGCCAAGCATGTACGTCAACGAGCTCACAAGTCTTCTGCTGGATCAGAGAACCCGAAGAAAAAACTGCTACTGTCCCCGACAGAAAGAGAGATCATATTCGACGTTGCAAATTCCTCTCATCTCTTCACACCATCTCCTCAACGCGGCGCTGTGATCGAAGAAGACGAAAGCGACGATGAAGATCCTGGAGATGGCGTAGATGGAGATTCAACTCTATCTCTCTGGGGCGATTTCCTTGACGAAGTATTCGAGGACGAAGAAATAGGCGCTGGATATACAGAGAATGAGACATTCACATCCACGGCAGAACCACAAGTTACAGACCGTTTGGTTGAAGACGAGCTGGATAACTTGATCGACGAGTTTGAGTTCATCCCAGAAGCGATTAAGCACACGATTCCAAACTTTAATGACCGAAACTTTCCTCAAGAACCCAAGACACTTCAAGGGTTCCGTGGCCTAAAGGCAACACTTGCTCAGTTGTTCGGTTGAACAGTGCAATCATTCATGTTAACTTCATATCAATACAACAACATTCACAGTGACAATTCTTCACACTCGAATCGCGTACTGTTGTAGATCACACTGGGAAAGGTCACCTCGGTTCAAATACCACGACCACGCGCGAAGCAGCAACTTCTTTGGTGGTGCTCGCGTCCTCGCACGGAGCCGGATCCTGCTCCTTGAGCCGCGGTCGTTGTCCGACTCGAGTGAGCGACAACCGTGCAGCAGCGGCGGCTCCTCGCCCGGATAGGCCGGGTCTTCTCAGTCTTTTGTTTGCTCTTCATAGCGTCACGAAGCCGCCGTACCGTCAGCGTTGTTGCCCAGCGTCAAGTTGGAGAACGTCATGTGCCTCACGTTGTTGCTGGGCAGCGGACAGAGAGTAAGTAGCCCAACATCTCGCTTATACAGCTCTCCCGCTTGAACACTATCATGTTGCTGGATGCATCTATCAGCTGCATTGGATCCTTGCGCGTGATGGCGTACGGTAGGGCGACGGC